TTCCTGTCCTGTCCTTTCCTGTCCTTTCCTGTCCTTTCCTTTCCTTTCCTTTCCTTTCCTTTCCTCCCCTCCCCTCCCCTCCCCTCCCCTGTGCTACTACTCCTGGCTAAATTTTGTATTTTTAGTAGAGACAGGGTTTTGGCGTGTCGGCCAGTCTGGTCTCAAACTGCTGACCTCAAATAATCTACCCGCTTCAGCTTCCCAAAATGCTGGGATTACAAGTGTGAGCCACTGCGCCCTCTTTTGAAATTTTTTTGGCCTATGAAAATCAGAGATCCAGGAACCACTGTTTAAAAAATTCTGGCTTATTCATCTTATTATTTATAGATTTCTCACTATAGATCAGTTTATTTCTTAGTTTGATTTGAGCATATTTCACAGAATGATTAATAATGAAATACTGGGTGCCAACAGCCTTACTTATATTTGGCTTTTTGTGTGTTGCTTCTTGTTACCTTATACCCAACCATGTGGGATTGAGTTTATTGTGCTAATAGGCAGGTATTACCTATAAAAGAATGGAAAAAGGTTGTGGCAGTTGGTCATTCTTTAACTTACATTTGTAGAACAGTTAGAGCAATACTGGAAGGCTCCCTTGTGGAGAAATGTTTCTCTTACCAGCTTGTCCTGGTATCTAAAATAGATATTTTCTTTATCTAGACCTTTGTTTTATCTCTAGAGGAAACTTTGTATACATATGGATTTGCAAATTTCATGACAACTATTGATCTAGATGGGTTGCTGGAGTATAGCCTCTAGGCCAACAACATTGCTCAGCTGAGAAGCATGTCAGAAATGCAGAATCTCAGTCCTACTCTATAACTGTAGGATCAGAATCAGCATTTCAACAAGATTCTCAGGTGGTTCATACTCATATTAAGTTTGAAAAGAGTTTGTAGAACACATGACTTTTGTCAAGAGTAAGGAGGAGGAGCAGGCTAAACAGTGATAGAGAAGTATAGGAAACCAATTTGGCTTAGTTGATTAACTTATTTTAGAATGGTTCTGCTGATAGTTGCAAGAGTATTCTTGAAAAGCAGGTGTGTGTGTGTGTGTGTGTGTGTGTGTGTGTGTGTGCGCGCGCGCGTGATTTAGTGTCTGGTTTTGTCACCATGCAAATAAACTTACTTGGAAAATATTCTTTGAGTCAAGTGGCATTCAAATAGAAGTGTTACTGAATTTCCTACAGCTCATTGTTTATTATTTATTTATTGAGGAAATACCTCAGCTTAATTCTTTGGGAACCTACTTTTACTGTTTTATCCAAAAAAGTAAATGCCCATTTATCCCTCTTAAGGGCAGGATCACACAAACATTAAGTAGTTTTGCTAGGATTTAGCAATGCTTTTTCTTTTTCCATTTATCCTTGTTTCTTCAAATCCAGTGGTATTTGAAAACCAAAGCACATATTTCTACATCCTTCATGTATCAAAGATACCGTATTGCCAAGTATTGGCTAGTCTCTGTGAAAGAACTCAGATTTGCCTTTTTACTTGACACTTTTTAGGTAATTAAGCAATCATATGTAATAAATAGGTCTGCTTAATTATCTTATTCAAAGATAAATGAGGTTGGTGGCAGTGGGGTGGATGAATTCAGGTGTATTTTCTTTGCTTTTATTTGTTTTTCACATTGGTTTTGTAAACTTCCTGTGTTGTGGACGTTTTTTGTATTTTTGGTAGAGATGGGGTGTCACCATGTTGGCCAGGGTAGTCTTGAATTCCTGAGCTCAGGCGATCCGCCTGTGTCGGCCTCCCAAAGTGCTGGGATCACAGGCATGAGCCACCGCACCAGGCCCAGTATTGTTATCTTATTGGACCACTATGGAATATGCGGTTCATTGTTGACCGAAACGTCATTACGTGACTTGTGACTTGTTTTTCCTTAAGTTAATAATGAAATTACTTTGTATAAGTTTTTTGGTAACTGTTCTTAAATTCCGATTTTAAGATGAACTCCATCGTTTAATCACTGAGTCAGACTTTTTTTTGTACTTTGGCAATTTACAGATTTACTTGACCTGTTTATGTATAGCATTCTAAATATATACAGAAGGACTTCCAAAATCAGTAGATGCTTAATTTCAGTGCATGTTATTGAAATACAAATTTTTAAAAAAGGAATAAATACCATTTCATACCCAGATTGACAAAAATGAAAAATCCTGACAGTATCAAATATTGGCAAGGATGTAGAGGAATGGGAACCTTTAACTATTGCTTGTGTTAGCAATGATGAAATACAATTAAAACCAAAATCAGCTTGCCCCAGAAAACATCTCTTCAAAGGCAGAAGAAAAAGGAAACAATTTCAGTTTTGAATAAGTATTAAACCAGAATGACATGTGTATCACAAACAATCTGATAAAAGATTGCAAAGACCAAAAGAATGCTCACCCTTACATATAGCGAAGTAGATGCAACCCATTACATAAATGTTCTCAAGATAAATAGTAAATAGTGTTCAAGTAACAGGACATGATACCATCATTTGTCACACATAGTTTATCCTAAATTCACTTGGTAGTTGGAGCAAACTTGTGTGTGAATGAATTGGCTTTTTCTAAAGGAAAAATGAACTCATATATTTGTGACAGGATGTAATTTTACAACTTGGAACTAGATGGCCTGCCAAAGTTAGGCACCCTGTCCTCCCACAGAAACTGGGAGATAAGGGTGCCATCTCTCTTGATGATCTCATTTGAAAGAGATGGCTATAAGGTTCTTGAGAAAGGCAGTTTTGGACTGCTGGCTAGCTTTTACAAAGATTTACATACATCTCTAAGCAGGCAGAGAAAAAATTTACCAGGTTTTGAAAGAAAATCCTCTAAGTAAAAGGGATGGGGGAGTACAGGTAGATTTAGGCCTCCTATTTTAAATTTTCATTTGCCTGTATACTGATGGATAAGTTGATCCAGCTACCTTAGTGGGCAACTTAGCAATGTTGTAGTCGGATTGAAGAAGAGTACACCCTCTGATTTAGCACTTTTACTTTTAGAGAAACTATTAACAGATGTTCATAGGATACTTGTAGCAGTTTGTATTAATAGTGAAATATTGCCAACAACCAAAATATTTGTAAGTAGGAAAGTGAATAAATTTTGCTATACTCATATAGTGTAATACTATACAGCTTTGCAAATGAATGATTTGGGGCGGCATCTGTCAACTTAAGTAATTTTCAAAAACAATGTTGAATTACTAAAGCAAGTTGCAGAAGAAGGATATGTACAATATATTGATACAACATTTGAAAACATGTAGAACAATACCATGTATTGTTTATTGATACATATACAGTGAAAGTAGAATAGAATGATAAACATCAAAATCAGGAAGTGGTTACCTCTAAGGAGGGAGGTGTACAAAGGGATCAGCAAGAGATCCATTTATTTCTTAACCAAGGAAAATCTTAAGTAAATAAGGTAGAATGTTAAGATTTAATTTATTTAGGCAGTGGGTATGTGTGTGTTTGTTATATTATTACCTAGATTCTTTTGTAATGTTTAAATATTTAATGATTAAAAGTTTTAAAAGAAAGAATGGATGGCAAGCGGTGGAAGGAAGTGAGGACATCTCTTCAAGAAAATTTGTTGTAAAGGGAACCAACAAAATGGAGAGGTAGTTGAAGGGAAATCAGTGTTAGTATGACACATTTGCATGCTAATAATAATCAAGTAAAAAGGGAAGAATTGGTATAGGAGACCTATAATAGTTATGGGAGCAGAATCCTTGAGAAAGAGAAAAATAATGGGGTCCAGTACAGAAATACTGTTTGACTCTTGATAGGAACAAAGACAATTTGTTGGAATAGGAGGGAAAGCAGAATAAGTGGTGGGAAGATGAAGTAGTTATCTTCTGAATTTAGGGTGGCCAACATCCAGGTTTGCTTGTGATTTAGCAGTTTCTCAGAATGCAGGACTTCCAGTGCTAAAACTGGGAAAGTCTTGGGCCAACTTCTGATTGTTTTTCCTTGACAAAATGAAAAGCATCACTTATCTTCTGGAAGTGATAAGGGGATGAAGGAAGTATTGAGGCTTAAGGTGAAGAGAGAAGCTATGAGTTAATTCTCTAAAAGATAGGAGAGCAGATTCACTGCATTAATGTGATAGGATTTCTGAGCATTTCGGGGGTCTGCTGAAATTTATGGTTATTATTTTAAAGTTTATATGGTTGTATTTCTCTTCAGTCTCGTTCAGCTATTTGGGTAAAAGTACTGAGTTAAGTGGAAAGTTGGTTTTAAACTATGTTTTGACTGTGATGGAGGGAGAGAGGAGCAGAGGAATGAGGCCACAGGGAAGGAAATGATTGTGTTGATGGATTTTTGAGTCTCAGGCTAGGTAAGAAGTAAAGAGAGACGAAGGAGAGTGGAAAAATTTGTAGGGTCTGTTGGAGTTAACAGGTTTCTGGTAGTGAATTGGAAAGATCTGTATAGTATATTGAATAAAGAAGCTGAAATGCTTGAAATTGAGATTTTTAAGGTAGGGTAGTTACTGGTTATCGATTTCATTGTGAGAATAGGAGACTGGAGTGGGATGGAAGAAAAGATCAATAGTAAATACACGTATCTCAAAAAGATCATCTTCTGTGGATGTCATTTCAGTGATTAATCTGTAGAGCAGATTTTGGTGCTCTATAACATATTCAATTATTTCCTCTTCATGTACTGAGAGTCTTCTGCTTCCTGTTTTATTTTGTTTAAATATTGCCTCAACTTGTAAATCATGTTGTATTGCTCTGAAATGAAGACAGCTGTAAATAAGTAAATCGATAAAAGCAAATTTTGTTTAGTCAGAATTTGGCCTTTTCGTATGGCTTGTTAGAGACTGTGCAGTTGGTAAATTCAAACATTAACGACCCCACTAACATAATAGCTTAATGATCCTGTTGCTCATTAAGCTAGTATAGTCCCACGTAAATTCAGTGAGGGCTTTATGCCATGTATGGTTATCTGTAGTACATTGCTTTGCTGACTCTAATTTTGTCTTTGTCTTTTTATAGGACCGCAGCTGAATGCACAGCTAGAAGGTTGGCTTTCTCAAGTACAGTCTACAAAAAGACCTGCTAGAGCCATTATTGCACCGTAAGTCTTTGGTTTTTGTTTTTGTTTTGTTTTGTTTTGTTTTTTGAGAAGGAGTCTCCCTCTGTCGCCCAGGCTGAAGTACAGTGGCACGATCTCGGCTCACTGCAACCTCCGCCTCCAGGGTTCAAGCGACTCTCCTGCCGCAGCCTCCTGAGCAGCTGGGACTACAGGCCTGTGCCACCACACCTGGCCAATTTTTGTATTTTTAGTAGAGACGGGGTTTTACCATGTTGGCCAGGCTGGTCTTAAACTGCTGACCTCAAATGATCCACCCGCCTCATTCTCTCTCACGCCTGGCCTGCACTGTAAGTTTTAAGAGTCTACTTAAAATCTTTTTTGTATGTTTTAGTAAATGAGTATCTACAGATTGAACTAAAAATTAGAAACTAAAGTCTATATTGAGCTGAAGAAATTGTATTCAGTAATTTTCACAATTCTTGTGGGTTTTCACTGTAACTTAAGGATAAAAGAATTGGCTACTTTGGCTGGGTGTGGTGGCTCACGCCTGTAATTCCAGCACTTTGGGAGGCCAAGGTGGGAGGATTGCTTGAGGCCAGGAGTTTGAGACCAGCCTGGGCAACATGGTGAGACTCCATCTCTACTAAAAATACAAAAATTAGCTGTGTGTGATAGTATGCTTATAGTCCCAGCTAAGCTACGGGGGGTGGCGGTGGCGGGGTTCTGAGGTGGAGAGATCGCTTAATCCTGGGAGGCAGAGGTTGTGGTGAGCCAGATCATGCCATTGCACTCCAGCCTGGGTGACAGAGTGAGACACTATCTCAAAAAAAGAAAAAAAAAAAAAAGAATTGGCTACTTTAGTTCCTCAGATGCAGTAATTTCAAAATGTATTTTTGATAATAAAACTGACTTTTAAAGAAAAGGGTGTTTTGCATTAGGTAAACTTGCCAATTTCGGTAGTCATTGCTGTAAATGAGTAAGTTCTGTTTTAAATATTAAAGAGATCTAATTTAATCCCGATGATTTTAAATTTATAATGAAAAAGATATATTAAACATAGTATGGTGCAACATGGAATAGCAACTTGATTTTTGAGGAGGGGTAGATTGTATCTTTTTTTAATTGAGAAAATCTGATTATTTTGTCTTTCGATTTTAGAGTTTGCTTTTTAGAACTGCAAGCTAGCACATACACAGTTAATGATGTGTGTCTATGTATGATTCATAATGATGTGTGTCTATGTATGAATTCAGCTAATTTTGATTTGGTTTCCAGAGCTAACCTTCACAACATACTGTTTGAAACACATGGTAACATTTTTTCTGAGAAGAGTGAAGGTTTACTCTGTGCCATTTATCTCATAGCATGTTGTTTGTGACTTCTATTGGGTTAAGGTGCGTGCCCTGATAAATAGTAAATAGTGATGACAATATGTAATAGCCATTTTTAATCAATGTCAGAATTAAATGAGTAAATAGTAAATACACATAAATAGCCTACTATTAATGGTAGCATTTTATATACCAAATGTTTTGTTAAATGCCTTATTTGTATATCTAATTTGATCTCATTTAATGGGTGCAGGAGCCTGACTCCTACTTCCAAGCTATGTGACATGCAACTTTTTTATCCGTTGGGACTTCGGCTCCTCACTGGTAAAGGTGGAATAATAATAGTATTTCCTTAACGCTTTTAACACCAGATTAAATGAACTAATCTTTATAAAACTTATAGCAAATGACTTACTACTATTTATTTAGTCATTTACATACCAGGCTAAAGGCCAAGTGCTCTTCTTTGTGCTGCTTTTTGAGTAAATCAAAATTGCTACTCTTGTGGTACTAGCATTTTGGTACTAGGGAAGACAGGCAGCAAACAAATATATTCTGAGTCAGGTGCTGATGGGTGCTAAGAAGAAAAATAAAGCAGATAGAGGATTGAGAGTGACAGTATGGGTAGGGAGTTACTGTTTTATATAGGATTAGTAAGAAAAGGACTCCCTGGTAAGGCAACATTTCAGTCTGAATGATGTGAGAGAGCAAGCTGTGCAGATACCTGGGGGAAGAGGGTTTCAGGTTGAAGAACAGTGAGCACAAAGGCTCTGGGGCAAGAGTATGTTTAGTGTGTTTGAGGAGAAGCAAGGAGGCCTGTGCAGCTGGAGTGGCAGTACAAGGGGAAGAGTGGTAGATGAGATAGGCAGCAGAGGGCTAGATCATGAAGAGGCTTTGTGGTCATAAGGACTTTGGTTTTTGTTCTAGTGATATGGCAAGTCATGACAAGTTTTGAGCAGTAGAATGACATGATCTGACTTAGGTTTGAAAAGGATTACTCTTGCTGCTGTATGGATATTATAGTGTGTGGGAACAAGGAGTCCAGTTTAGGAGGCTTATTTTACAATTACAGTTACAGAAAAGAGATGACACAGTGGCTTGGGCTGTGGAATTGAGGCAGAGATGATGAGAAGTAGTGTATTCTGGATATGTTTTAAAGATTGGACCAACAAGATAGAAGAAGAGTCAAGAATGACACTTGGTTAGGGGCAGTGGCTCACACCTGTAATCCCAACACTTTGGGAGGCCTAAGCAGGAGGATTGCTTGAGGCCAGGAGTTTGAGATCAGCCTGCGCAACAAAGCAACACTCCATCTCTACAAAAATTAGCTGGATGTGGTGGGATGCAACTGTAGTCCTAGCCACTTGGTAGATTGAGGCAGGAGGATCCCTTGAGCCCAGGAGTTTGAGGCTACAGTGAGCTATGGTCTGTTTGTACCACTGTACTCCCGCTTTGGCGACAGTGAGATACCCTGTGTTTAAATATATTTTTAAAGACATGGTTTAAAATATCATGACTGAATGATTCTTAAATTTTGTCCCTAGAAGGATGGAATTACCTTTTACTGATAAGAGGAAGACAAATGGAAGTGTGGAGTAGATTTTGAAGTGTTCATATAGAATCTAGGTTTTTGGTTTTGATCTTGTTAATGTTGAAGTGCTTATTAGATGTCCAAATGGAGATTTAGAATGGGCAGCTGGCTATATGAATCTAGAGTACAAAGAAGAGGCACCAGATTTGAGATAGAAATAAGGGCTTTATTAGTATATATCATCATAGAGGGTATGGGAATAAAATAAAGATAAACAGGAGAAGAGTTTCAAGGACTAGGCCCTTGGACAAGCCACCTTTTTAGGTGTGAGGGAGGAAAAAGTGATCAGCTGTATCAAATGCTGCCAGTGAGGACTGGGGATTGATAATTGGATTTGGCAATGTGGAAATTACTGGTGACCTTAAGAAGAAAAGTTTCTTTTCTTGGGTGGTGGAAAATGAAAGTGTTATTGGAGTAGGTTCAGGAAAGAATGAGAGGTGAGGGCGATGAAGACGTAAGTATAGATAGTTTTTTGAGGAATTTTGCTGTAAAACAGAGAAATAGGATAGTATCTCTATGGTAAGGAGGATTTTTATTTCATTTGCGAGATTTTAAAGTGTTTGTATATGAAGTGATTCAGTAGGGGAAGAAAAATTGATGCAGGGATAAGAGGGGACATTTACCTAAGTGAGATCCTTAATTAGGTGAGAAACAATGGATTAATAACAATTTCTTTATAATAACTCACAAGAGACATTTTATTCTCATTTCATCAATTTGCTGGTATTTGACTATTATGGTATGCTACCTTTCCAGTTAAAACTTGTTCTAAATTTGGGAGCTGAGTTGAATCAACATATAATTAAGTTGAGGTTAGTCTTCATATAAAAGTTGCCAGACTTGTTTCCTTCTTGTAATTAATTTTAAATTGGAATCATTGGGAGTGACCTGGGAAATGGAATGTTTTAGCCTAAATTACAAATATGTTGATTTCCAAGTTACCCCAGATTTTAAAATGGATATATGAAAATAGTTTTGGCTTTGGTGTGTTTCTGTTACATACTGACTTTGTATACAATGTATAATAAATGTTATAATAAACATATAAACATATAAAAACATATATAAATATAAATACATATAAATGTGCATTCATAGGCAATTTCTATTTTGTTAACATAGGAAGACTTTAAGTATAGCCAAGTTTTATCTTATATGGTTTCCAGAAGTAATTATTTTCCTTTCCAAGGTTACTTTTTTTTTGAGGTAGAAAACAAATATTTCATTGTTACTGGGTGCAGTGGCTCATGTTTGTAATCCCAGCACTTTGGGAGCCCGAGGTGGGAAGATCGCTTGAGCTCAGGAGTTTGAGACTAGCCTGGGCAACATGGTGAAACCCCCTCTACAAAAAATACAAAAATTAGCTGGGTGTGGTGGCATGTGCTCAGCTACTCCAGAAGCTGAGATGGGAGGATTGCTTGAGCCCATGAGATTGGGGCTGCACTGAGCTGAGATCGCACCACTGCACTCCAGCCTGGGTGATGGGAGTGAGACCCTCTCTCAAAAAAAAAAAAAAGAAATTATTGTTGTATGGCATGAAAGGGTCTTATGCTATATAGTAATTAGAAAAATCACATTAATCAAAAACTTACTTTAAGTTTTATAAATGTTAGCTCTCAAGTACTTGATTTTCTTAGTTTTTTTATCTTTATAGGCATAAATCATATCATGGAAGCCTTAAATAAACTCAGAATCTGGATATAGTTGTAACTAATTAGGCTGTGTGAAAATGGCAAGTTTTTGAAAGTGCTTAAAAATATTGTTCATTTTTATATTGATATAGATTAAATAGAATAAATATCATTAAAGAATAAATATTGACAGAACTGTTGTTCTGTCTTAATGAATTCTAATCTATGTGACATAAGGCAGGCACCTTTGGAGGATTTAAAAGAAATTAATTTGATGAGACATGTACTGTGGTTGTCAGAACTACCTTACCTTGATGTGTAGGAGATAGTATGTGTCCCAGGGATATGTGTTGAAATGATCTCGAGCTAAAAGTCTGAAAAGCCTTTCTACATGACTTCCAGATATCTTCAAACCAATCTTCTTGCTTGTCTTGCACTGTACAGAAATATGTCAGCAACCCCTAGAATGAAGTTGTACAGATATGCATC